TTCCTTCCTTTTTCTTTCTCTCTTCTCCCTTTCTCCAATTTTCCTTCCTTCCTCTTTCCCTCCCCTTCTGACAGATCCCATAAACCTGATTTACACACATACAGAATTATTCCTGGTGGTGGTTCCGGAAGAATTAAACCACTGGAGGTGGTTCCGGAACAATCAGATTTAGCCAATTTCTTGACGGAAACGCACAATCCTTCTTGGCTTAAAATGACAGCCAGTTGCGATCACCTTTATACCTGTATAAATCTGAGAGGCTTAATCTATGATTTCCTTCTCCCTCTAGTAGTCGGTCCTGTGCACCTTGTCGGGATAGGAAAAAACACCCAGATCCACACACTTGCAAATGTGTGTGTCGCCACCGATCCGGGCATTGTGAGAGGCGCGGGCTGAAATTCAGTGAGAAGACATGCAGGTAACACTGCCTTACCTTTTATATCTCTTGTCCTCTGTCTGTGGTGGCTTTCTCTCACTCTGTAATGGCTGGCTGATTATTTTCCCTTACTCACAACGGGCTTCCTTTAGAAAGTCCGTCGTGAGTGACAAGAAACAGCAAGCTATTCCTGAGTAAGAGAAAGCCACCGCAAACAGAGGGCAAGAGATAAGGGGCTTCGTAGTTAATGAATAGGGACTTCCTTTAGAAACATTAATGTCATAAAGGATTCTGGGATACCTAGTGTGGCACCTGGTTCACGCAAGGCGCAAGTCTGCCAAAGGGATCCAAATAGAAAATAAATAAATAAATAACAAATTCGAAACCGGTTTAAGGATGCTGTACAAACTCAACCCAGACCCCTTTTTTCCCCCGGTGGCACCAAAAAGGAAGTTTTATTTTCAGGATTTGAGCAGCCAGAGAGAAAGAAGAAAAAAAAACTTCTTTTTTTTTTCTTCAGGAAAAACTTTCTCTAGAACTTTTAACCAGAAATATGGCCGAACAGGAAAATGGCAAACAAAAGTTTTCATTGCAAACTGGGGTTTCTTGGGGTGCTGTTTGGTTTGCATGTTTGGGGAAGGGGGGGAGATCCCAGCCAGCCCACCCCTCCTGAAGCCCCTTGAGCCAAAACAAGAGTCTGTCAATCCAAAGAGGCAAAATATCCTTTTTTTGTCCTTCCAGATGTGTGAAGCGCCGAAGGCGAACCTCGTGGAAAAAAAGTAAAAGCCGCATTTCAGGTGGGATGGAGGCTAGAACCGAGCCTCACAGAGCATTGACTATCCTCGGCTAGCGAAGACTGTTCTCTGCTGGGTGTGAACTTTTCCATGCTCAGAGGCAACCCACTTGTTTGGCTGGGGGGGCGGGGGAGAGGTGGGGGAAGAAAAACAGGCACGGAACGTCGAGTTACGACCACAGGCTGCACCAGATTTTCCACTGCTAAGCAAGGGGGTTTGCTAAGCGAGTTGCACATGAGGACCTTTTCCCCATTCAGCGAATCCCTGCAGTCGTTAAGTGGATCACGCGGTCGCTAAACGAATCCGGCTTCCCCCGTTGACTTGTTCCTTGTTGGAATGCCGGCTGGGAAGGTTGCAAATGGTGATCAGGGGAACCCAGGACGCTGCAACCTTTGTAAACACATCCCGGTTTGTATTTGGTCACGTGACCATGGGGGGGGGGATGATGTGATGGTCATAATGCAAGGACCGGTGTCCCATAAGTCACTTTTTTTCCGGGGTCGTTGTAACGTTGAATGCTTGCTAAATGAATGGTTGTCAAGTCGAAGACTTCGTGTGTATAAACCCATCCCGTTGTGGCTTCTTGGGACAAGCCATGGCTTGCTGCCAGACATGCTTTCATTACATATTCAGAGGCAGTCCATCTTTCAGCCCAAGGAGCTGAGGGACAATTTCGAATTTGGAGGGAATTACTGGTATTATGTGCTAGATTGGATTCTTTCCCAGACCAGGAAGCCCAAGGACACAGCCAAGCCTCCCCTGTGGCTTTTCCAGGAAACCACCCCCCACTGTTTTAACCTTTGATAAGTCAATATTTAGAAAGGCAGGGGGGACAGACAGGACGGTCCTGTCAACTCTTTTTCTCTCTACAAATCTCTTTTGAGGCTGGGCGTAAATTTACCAGAGGGTCAGGTTTGCCTCACTCATATTGCGCCCCATTAAGCTGGGGGACTCCCTGCCACCGGATGTGTTTTCTGCTTCAAGTGTCTTCAAACAGATATTTGAGATAGATAATAAAAATCTGGAGGCTAAAATGGTGGCAGGAATTGGGTGTGCCTAGCCCTATTCTAATGAAAAGAAGGATTAAGGGTGACATGATAGCAGTGTTCCAATATCTGAGGGGCTGCCATAAAGAAGAGGGAGTCAGCCTATTCTCCAAAGCACCAGAAGGCAGGACAAGAAGCAACGGGTGGAAACTAACCAAGAAGAGAAGCAACCTGGAATTGAGGAGAAACTTCCTGACAATCAGAACCATTAACCAGTGGAACAGCTTGCCACCAGAAGCGGCGAATGCTCCAACACTGGAAGTTTTTAAGAAGAGACTGGACAGCCATTTGTCCGAAATGGTATAGGGTTTCCTGCCTGAGCAGGGGGTTGGACTAGATGACCTCCAAGGTCCCTTCCAGCTCTATTCTGATTATTATTACTCGTACCATATAAATTGCACAGGGCTGGCTCTTTATTTTTGGCTGTATTTTTTATTGAGTCTCTGAAGGTCGAATTCCTCTCCAATGAGAGATCTGATTTTTAATTTGCGAGTAACATTATCTATCATATTTAATAACATCATTATTAAATTTATTTATTACAGAAATATTTATAGGCAATCGCATCCGCCCCTTTCACAACCAACAAATCTTCTGCTCCCGTATTCCAATGAAAGGAGGGAGGGATTCCATCAGCCCCGCCCACTCAACGCGCCCCCGGCCACGCCCACTCGAGCTCTGCACTCCCGCCTCTATCCCCGGGGAGGAAGTGACGTCACTCCCTCCTCACGTGAACGGGCCCAGCGAGCCACCTTTTAACTAAGTTTTATACAATATATATATATATATATATATATAAATAAATATACATATTTCCTGGCTCCTCCTGATTTTAACTTCTCAACCGCCGACTCTCCTTGGAGAGAATTAAATCCATACGCGGCGCGAAGATCACGTGATGCGGGCTCCCTCCTGAGGGAGGGGAAAAACATGGCGGCGCCCGCGTCGGCTTCTTCCGCTGAGGAAGCGCCGGGGCCGCGGAGGGCGCATGCGCAGAGGGGTGGGTGGTATCCGTTGAGGCAAGGAGAGGTGAGAGGGGGGGGAAATGGGGGGTCCCGAGGAAAGGGGGGGACCCGGGCGCGGGGCGCCGAGGAGCCTGGAGCCGGGCGGGGGGCAGCGGCCCGGGGGAGGCTCCGAGCGGGGGCAGCCTGCGGGGGGCGGGAGAGGAGAAGTGGGGGACCCCCCGCCGGAAGGCCCGGGGAGGCGCCTGGAGCCCAGGAGGTCGGAGCTGAGGGACGTGGGGACCCAGGTGTCTTGGGCCCCCGGGGAGGGCCCCTCCAGGCCGGCCGGGGAGGGCCCCTCCAGAGCGGCCGGGGAGGCCCCCCAGGCCAAGGCAGGGGGCGCCAGGGGGTCCCCTGGAGAGTGGGGGGCTCCCCCAGCCAGGGAGGGGCCCGGGGACCCTTGGGGGGCCGCCTCGGGGGGCCCCGCCAGCCAGAGCAAGGCGGCGCAGGACAAGCGGGCCTCCTGGCCGGGGGGGCTTTGCGAAGGGTGTGGGGCCCCCAAGGAAAGGGGGGAGCCCAGCAAAGGGGGCCCCCCCCGACTGGCCAGCCACAGGGCTTGGGACTTGGGGCTCAGGGCCCCCCGGGAGCGCCTGGAGGACAGCATGGGGCTGCTGGCCCTGGGGGTCAGCCGCAGCCTCTCGGGGGGGCTCCCTGGCCACGCAGGGGCCAAGCGGCACTCGGGGGGCTGGCCCCGGGACCCCACCAAGGCTTCAGGGGAAGTCTGGGTCCCCCGCAAGCCGGCCAGGCCCCCCGAGAGGATGGGCTTGCCTTGGCTGAAAGAGGGGGCCGTGCCCCGGAAAAGCGGGGCGGCGGAGCTCAACCAGGTGTGGATCCCCCGGGAGAAGCCGGCCCCGGCCGGAGGGGCGTCCGGGGACGTCTGGGTGCACAAAGTGAGGAACCCCTCCGGCACCGGCATCATGTGGGTTTGGGCCAAGGTGACCAACTGCAGCGAGGAGGAAGCGGCGGTGAACGAAGCCAGGGTTTGGACCTTCCAGAAGGAGGGTCCCAGGAAGGGTGGGGAAGGCGAGGGAGGGTACGGGGTCTCTTAAGAAGCATGTCAGGAAGGTGACCCGGGGGGACGGGGGTGGGGTGGGCTGGGGGTGGGAGATACAGGTAGTCCTTAACTTCACGGCCACAGCTGAGCCCAACGTTTCTTTTGCTAAGTGAGACTTTTGTTCCATGAGTTTTGCTCCATTTTACAACCTGTCTGGCTACCGTTGTGAAGTGAGTCACTGCAGGTGTTGAGTTAGTGACACGGTTGTTAAGTGAATCTGGCTTCCGCATTGACTTTGCTTGTCAAAACGTTGCTAAAGGGGATTTACGTGATGTAAATATGTCGTAAGTAGGAGTCAATGGCCAAGGATCTGAACTTTGGTCACATGACCAGAGGGGATGCTGCAACGGTCGTAAGTGTGACGGAACGGCCGGGCGTAAGTTCATTTTTTCCCAGTGCCGAACGGTCACTAAATGAACTATTGTAAGTCGAGGACTACCTGTAGTGCGGGACGGGGAGGACATGCTAGGCCCCTTTGGAGGAAAGGGAGCGTTGTTTTTCAATCTTGACAGTGTTTAAGAGGCTGGGACTTCGACTCCCAGAATTCCCCAGCCCTCCGTGCTGAGGAACTCTGGGAACTGAAGTCCATCTGTCTTAAAGTGAGTGGCCAAGTTTGAGAAAGCCAGGGGATTCTGGGAGTTGAAGTCCCCTCTTCTTAAAGCAGCCAAGGTTGGAAAAAACCTGGGTTAGAGATAAGCAGGGGGAGATCCTTTCGAGAAGGGACGGGGGGGTGTCAGAGCAAAAAGACAACTCAGCCATCAACTGGGGTGGCGATTCCTTGAAAGACTCTGGATGGTGGTTGTGGTGACTGCTACCAGGGAAGGGAGCAGAGCCTGACTAGCCACTTGGGTAAGTCCAGAGGCTCTGGAGAAGGGGGGGGGGCTGCTTGCTGGTGTGCATGCCAAGTTAGAAGCCGGGGTGAGCATGCAATTCTAAACGCATCTCGAGTGCATGAACGACCCTGGGGCGCTAACGGGTGAGGTGGGTAAGAGCTTCAACGGTCAGTATGAAACTCATATCTAAGACGGTGTTTCTCAAATCTTGGCAACTTTTAAGATAAGTGGACTTCAGCTCCCAGAATTCCTGGCTGGGGAATTCTGGGAGTTGAAGTCCACCTATCTTAAAAAGTTGCCAAGACGTGAGAAACACTGCCCTGTAAAGACCCAGACCAGCCAAGGCAATTTATCTAAAGGGCTATTATTCAGTATGTACAGCATGGGTCATACTTTGTTCTACTATCCAGGAATCCTCCAGCGTTTATTAGAACCCTTCCAGGACCCTAGGGGCGTGAAAGTGAGAGCTAGCTTAGCAAAGACAGAAGTTAGGGAATAGCGCAGAGGTGGTCTTCCAGATCTTTCTAAACCGTAGCCTATCCAAACTGGCTATGGTAATGGATTCTGGGAATTGCAATTATCAACAGAAGAGAGCATTGGTATTATCAACAGAAGAGAGTATTGGTAGCTCAGCGTTGAACTGTGAGAGTCTCTGGTGCTCTCTGAGCTGGGTGGTTTTCTTGCAGACGTTTCATGACCCAACTAGGTAACCTCATCAGCGCTAAAAGGGAGTGGGGGTTTGCCCCTCCTTTATATTATAGTGGCTCGGCCTGCCCATATTGGTGAGGATGCTCTTGGTTGTGCCTTGATTCGGCTGTTGTTTATGTCATGTGTCTGATTAACGAAACACTTAAAAGGACTTTCAGGCATATTTTCTCCTAAAAGCATTTATTAAGGTTACAGAGACGTCAGTACAGCATGGTGGAAATGCTTAGGTCTGGCTTCTCTTCCGTTACGCATATACATTCCAAGCATTTTTCCCTGCCTCTATTTTGGGGTCATGGTTCACATCTTCCAATTAACNGCGCGGCGAAAGGAAGGGAGATCAGGGATAACCCTGATCTCTGGGGGCAGTTCATTCCAGAGGGTGGGAGCTCCCACAGAGAAGGCCCTCCCCCTTGGGGTCGCCAGCCGGCACTGTCTGGCCGACGGCACCCTGAGGAGACCCACTCTATGGGAGCGTACCGGTCGATGGGAGGTACTCTGCGGCAGGAGGCGGTCTCTTCTAGCACTGATGAGGTTTCCTAGTTGGGTCATGAAATAGTTAGAAAAAAACAACCAAATTCGGGCGAGCCTCCTCCTCCTCCTCCTCAAACCCACTCTCTTCTAGCCCTGATTATATTACCCAGTTGGGTCATGAAACGTCTGCAAGCAAACTACCAAATTCGAAGAACGCCATTATGTTGAGAGCCGCATGCCAAAGGCTGCCGATTCTTCCCCCCCCCCTTTCCCCAGTATGGATTTCATAGATGGGTTGACTTCATCCCCTCCCGTCCTACCAAGACGCCGCTCGCTGCATGCTGCCGAGCCATCCCATCCGCATCCCGCTGCGATTTCTGAGCGTGCCTCTTCCGCTAACCAGTGTTGGTCTCCGCAGGGGCTTGAGCGATGCAGGCAAACCTGGGGGCGGCGCTGCTGACCTTGGCGCTCTGGGCCATTTGCTCGCCGGTGCTGAGCACGGAAGGTAAACGGAAACTGCAGATTGGAGTCAAGAAACGGGTGGACAACTGCCCCGTCAAGTCCCGAAAAGGCGACGTGCTCCACATGCATTACACGGTGAGTGTGAGAAAGCAGAGCGAATCGCCGGCGCTTTCCAAACTTGGGAATGGGAGGCAGAAGGAGACCAAGCTGTGTTCAAGGCCGAACGGGAAACCAAAGCAAAGTTTACAAAACCCCGGTGAACAATATCTAAAAAACCAGACACCCAGGTATGTGTGTAGGATGCACCGCCTTTCCCTGTGATGTGATGGGATTTGTTTAGCGCAGGGGTCTTCAAACTTGGCCCTTTTATGGCTTGTGGACTTCAACTCCCAGAATTCCTCAGCCGGGAAGTTGAAGTCTACAAGTCATAAAAGGGCCAAGTTTGAAGACCCCTGTCTTAGGCCACTTGAAGATGGGTGGACAGCTGGCTGGGGAATTCTGGGAGTCCACAAGTCTACCCATCTTCAAGTGGCTACGGTGGCAAAGGCTAAATAAAGACTCTTTTGGAGCCAGTTGCATTTGAGTAGTGGGCTTGCCTCCGAGGCCCCAAAGCCCCAGGAAAGAATAAAGTGATAAATGATAAATTCTGGGAGTTGAAGTCCACAAGTCATCAAAGGGCCAAGTTTGAAGAGCCCTGGTTTAGCGTTTTGCAAACTTGGCAACTTTAACAGGTGTGGGCCAACCTAACCGGCATGCTGGGTGAGGAATTCTGGGTGTCGGCTTCCAAGAGCTCGCTAGGAATTTCCCTAAGAGGACGAAGCGACTTGAAAATTCGCTTTTCCTGCGGGCCTGATTCTGAGTCACCCTCCCGGAGGATGCACACACCTCAGCTGTCTTTCAGCTACACACCCTTGCTGACTCACATTAAACCCTGTTCCAGGGCTCGGCGATGGCAACTTTTTAGGCTGAGCGTGGATAGCTGACCACGAAAAAAACTGTGTAATTGGTGGATTCCCTTGCCAGGGAGAAAGAATGACGTGGCCAAAATCTGGTTCCTCGTTCTCAGGTTTCCCCTTGACCTCGGGCACTATAAGCCCTTCGGCTTCTGGACACACCTTTCTCCACCCTGCCATATTTTCCCTTCCCTTGTTGTTGTTAGTTGCGAAGTCGTGTCCGACCCATCACAACCCCATGGACAACGTTCCTCCAGGCCTTCCTGTCCTCTACCATCTCCTGGAGTCCATTGAAGCTCACACCTGCTGCTTCAGTGACTCCATCCAGCCACCTCATTCTCTGTCATCCCCTTCTTCTATTGCCCTCAATCTTTCCCAGCATCAGGCTCTTCTCCAGGGAGTCCTTCCTTCTCATTAAGTGGCCAAAGTACTTGAGTTTCAACCTCAGGATCTGGCCTTCTAAAGAGCAGTCGGGGTTGATCTCCTCTAGGACTGACCGGTTGGATCGCCTTGCAGTCCAGGGGACTCGCAGGAGTCTTCTCCAGCACCAGAGTTCAAAGGCCTCCATCCTTTGGCGCTCAGCCTTTCTTAGGGTCCAACTTTCACAGCCATACATTGCAACTGGGAAATCCCTTCCCTTGCCTTCCCGTAATGCAGCAGCCCCCAATTTTAATTGCGTGGAGAGACGGTTTTCTGTGGACCGGAGGAGCCGTGGTTTCATGTGCCGCCTGCATCCCGCGGATGGGGCTTCGCTTCTTTGACTGAACCGGTTCCTAGCATGCCGCAGACCGGTGGTGATCCACAGACCGGGGGTTGAGGACCCCTGCCCTAATGGCAGGTGCAAAAACCTTGAGAAGCTAGGCAAAAAAAATGGAAGGACTCTTTTTTTATATATATAGATTTTATTAGTTTTTATAGGGTTAGGAATAAGGTGGGGTCGGGGTTGGGATTAGGGTTGCGGTTTTTCCAAATAACCTTTTCAATATTTAGGAAACAGCATGATGTCTGGGTTCATGTGTTTAACAAACAAGAATAGATAATAGTTCATTATCGTAAACAATATGTTAATTCGTCACTCGATAGCCTTCCTCTTGCTAATACATATTCGAAGTTACGTATCACGTTCCTTTCTCTCTGACTCGTCTTTCTAGCCACTGATAGAAATTATCCCATGTTCTAAAGTACATGGAGTCTTCTTTGTCACCTTTTAAAGTCCATCTATCCATTTCTGCACGCTCTAGAATTTTCTTAATTTGTACCTCTCCAGTTGGTAAGTTTTCATTTTCCCAATGATTCCCAAAATGGACGAACGGCCGCACAACAAATTAGAATTGGCTCATCTGGTCGTGTTTCCTGTTGGTCTGCTTAGTAAGGCTGACATTTCCTCAATGTATCAGGCCTTGCTCATGATGCAGCGGGCGAACGTGTGAGCCAGGAACTTGGGAATGTCTCTGGGCTCCTTCTAGTAGAAAGGACGACTGATTTGCTCCCCCCCCCCAGGGGCTCCTTGGATTTTCTGTTGTTTTTCCTCTGAAGAATTGAACTGAGCAGAATAGGACAAGAAAATCCTGCTAGGATAATGTTACCTAGTCTGGTAACGCACCGTTCAAAAAAAAATTAAAATAAAATAAATCGAAGCAAGCTTGGAGAGCAAATCTAAAACTCGGGTGACAAGTATTTTTCTGTGATTTCAAAGACAAAGAAAGCCCAGTTGCCTTTGGGAAAAAACACCTTGGATGACTTGAGAATCTCCCATAGACAGCTGGTTCGGGAGCAGGAAAAACTGGAATGGTGGTGCAGCCGCCGCGTGGGATGAAAAGGCTATTTTGCTCCTCCTCGCTAAGAGCGGCACAGTCGCTCCAACAAGAGAGGTTTAATTGTTCTCACTGTCAAGAAGTTTCTCCTTAGTTCCAGGTTGCTTCTCTCCTTGGTTAGTTTCCATCCGTTGCTTCTTGTCCGGCCTTCAGGCGCTTTGGAGAACAGCTTGACTCCCTCTTCTTTGGGGCAGCCCCTGAGAGACTGGAAGACTGCTATCCTGTCCCTCCTCGTCCTTCTCTTCATTAAACTAGACTTACCCAGTTCCTGCCACTGTTTTTCATACGTTTTAGCCTCCAGTCATTTAATTTTCATCTCTGTGCCTTCCCAGGGAAAACTGGAAGACGGGACGGAGTTTGACAGCAGCTTAACTCGTGATCAGCCCTTTATCTTCTCCTTGGGCACCGGACAAGTCATCAAAGGCTGGGATCAAGGCCTGCTGGGGTAAAAGCCAGCTTCTGAGGAACAGGGGTCCGAATGGATTTGGGGTGCCCTTGATGAAGGGAGGGAGGGAGGGAGGGAGGGAGGGAGGGAGAGAAAGAAGGAAGGAAGGAAGGAAGGAAGGAAGGAAGGAAGGAAAAAGAAAGAAAAGAATAATACAAGGTCCTTAGTGCTCTCTGAATTTGATTGTTTTCTTGAAGATATTTCATAACCCAACTAGGTAACTTCATCAGTGCTAGAAGGGAATGGGGTTTGAGGAGGAGGAGGAAAAAGGAAGGAAGAGGAAAGAAAGAAAGAAAGAGAAAGAAAGAAAGAAAGAAAAAGAAAGAAAGAAAGAAAGAACGAAAGAAAGAAAGAGTCTTCAAAACAGTTCATAGTGGGATTGGAATGGTCAAGATGGAAAGCCAGAGTTTAAAAGAGTGGAGAATGAAATTCTAGCCCTCCCGATTGGTAACGCTGATGGCTTCTTTGTGGTTTCTTTTGCTGTTTCAGGATGTGCGAAGGCGAGAAAAGGAAGTTAGTCATCCCTTCAGAGCTAGGTAAGGAACAAGAGCAGAACACTGCTGGGTGGGCGTTCTGCTCCTAAAGACGGGGGGCAGCTACGCTCCGGCATTGCTTCGTTGCCCCTTGGCATATTTCACGTTTAATTTTTTCTGGAGCTTGAGCAGTGTTGTGTCCTAGTATCCTTTGATATCCGGCTGATTTAGCTTCTGTTGTCTCTCTCTCGCAGGGTATGGAGATCGGGGAGCACCGCCCAAAATCCCAGGTATTTTATTTCTCCCTTTTATTTATTTACATGCATCCCACCTTCCTTATTTTTTTTTACCAGCCACCCAAGGTAGCAAACATATCCAATACGTCTTCCTCCTCCTATTTTCCCCCACAACGACCCTGTGAGGCGGGTCGGGCTGAGAGAAAGCGACTGTGCCAAAGTCACACGGCTGGCTTTTATGCCTAAAGTGGGACTAGAACTCACTGCCACCTGGTTTCTACTCTGGCATCTTAAACTACTACAGGTCAGACGTCACCCAGCCGGTTTTCGTCGCTAAAAGGGGACTAGAACTCTCCGTCTCTTGGTGATTGGCCCAAAATCATCCAGCCAGCTTTCATGCCTAAGGCGGGACTAGAACTCATCGTCTCCTGGTGATTAGTCCAGAGTCACCCAGCTGACTTTCAGGCCTAAGGCGGGACTAGAACTCACTGTCTCCTGGTGATTGGCCCAAAGTCACCCAGTCAGCTTTCATGCCTAAGGCGGGACTAGAACTCACCGTCTCCTGGTGATTGGCCCAAAGTCAGCCAGCCATAGACCAGGACATTGTATTCTGTTAACCCAGCAATGAAGAATTTACATCTTCTACATCATCCTTATCTTAATTTCTTTCATTGGACTTTATCCTGTTTGGATTGACTTCCTTCACGCAATGATACATTTTTATTAGTTTTATCGAAATAGAAAGTGCAGAAAGACAAAGAAAGACGAGAATAAGGGGGGAAGAGGGGAGGAGAAGGGGAAGAGGAAAAAGTGTAGGGTGAAGGGACAAAAAAAAAAAAAGCATTGTCTTCGGACTCTCTTCGGCTCAGCAGAATAAGGCCATAACATACAACCTCAACATTTTACTTGTACATAACTATATACTAGCCATTCCTATAACAACAGGCCTACCTAATCAGCAAAATCCAAAATCAAGTGTTCATTTCTCCCCCCCTCCCCACTTCAAGCATAAAGCCCAGAAGCAGTTTCCAAATAGAAACACAATTGTATTCTTTAACCAAAGCGGTCCTTTTAGCCCTCTCCGCTAACTCCCATCAACTTTGACAGCCATTCATCCATTGCGGGCATCAAAATATTCTTCCATTTCTACGGATTGACTTCATTCATATCCAGCCACGAGGTTTTTTGTTTTTGTTTTGTTTTTTAAAAAAGCACCCCATCCAATTTCAGTTCTCCCCCTTCTCATTTCTCTCTTTTCCCATGCTCTTCCCAGGCGGCGCCACGCTAATCTTCGAAGTGGAGCTGCTGAAGATTGAGCGTCGCCAAGAACTATAGCTGTACGTCTCTCCCAGGAAGAGGGGCTTTTGGGGAGGGGAGGGGGCGCACGCGAAAGATGGACGGACAGGCCGGAGAAGGATCTGTCAAAAGGGGTGTGTCGTTCCTAGGTGGGCCAAATCATAATAATAATAATAATAAAAAAAAAGCACAGATCAGATTTTGTCCCGTGAATGCGCAGGGGGAGGACGTCGTCCGTGGGCCGGCGGGCCAGCCGAGGAGGGGATGAGCAGAGGGTTACCTATTTTGGGCCCTCGCTCTTGTCTCTGAAGGGTCAGCTGGCCAGGCTGATGTCCTGCCCTCTCGCGACCTTTAGAGCTGGCCACAGGCTGAACAGATCAACTTGGGGTAAGTTGTCCAACCTGACAGGCATTGCCCTGTGTTTAAAAGGTTAGCTGTTGTCCTGGGGGCTTTTAACCCCAAGGAGGAAAAAAGGGGTTGGCAGGGAGGGGTCCTCAATGGAGCAGGAATGGCTGCCTGTTCAACAGTCAGGACCAGGATTACTCAGCAACTTTGAGATGGGTGGATCTCAACTCCCAGAATCCCCCATCCAGCAGGCTTTAACACTGCTGGACCTCAACTCCCAGAATTCCCCAGCCATAGCGTGCTTGCTAGCTGTGGCATTCTGGGAATTGAAGGCCACCTGTCTTAAAGCATCACGGCTGGGGAATTCTGGGAATTGAAGCCCACCTGTCTTAAAGCAGGCTGGCTGGGGAATTCTGGGTGTTGAAATCCACCTGTCTTAAAGCATAATGGCTGGGGAATTCTGGAAGTTGAGGTCGCCCATTTTAAAGCGTGCTAGCTGGGGAATTCTGGGAGCTGAAATCCACCCCTCTTAAAGCCTGCTGGCTGGGGGATTCTGGGAATTGAAGTCCACCCGTCTTCAAGCTGCCGAGGTCGAGAAACACCGCCTTAGACCTTGTGTATCCTGGATGGAGAAGAGATCCCCCTAGAATTTTCCTGGGCTGCCCCATGGAATTCTGGGACCCCTTCCCGAGAACACCCCGAACAAGCCGCTGAGCATCTGCTAAAACAGAAAAACAAAAGGCCCTTTCTCCTGCCTTGACTTTGCTGGAGAAAGCGAGGTTTCTTTAAGGACAGCAGCGACTCCGTAAATAAAGGGAACGGAAGTTTCCTGCCGCAAGGAGCTGGTGAGAAAGTGAGATAACAGGATGAGAGCACGGAGCGGCTGGCGGGAGTGCAAAAAGGCTGGATCTTCGCCAGCATTGTCTAGCTACAAAGCGAACAGCGAGGTGGCTCGCGCCGTGCCAGACATTCGTGGTTAACAAGTCCGTAAACGCCTTTGCGGTGGAAAACGGAGAAAATTGGCGTTGTAGGCACCACAGTGGCGGTTTTCTCCACACCACGATGTAAGTGGGCACGGGATCAAACCGTGGCTTATGCTGCCTTTTTTTAAAATACAGACACAGGAGAATCACATGGGGGCCTAACTGTGGCTTTGTCCCTGAAGCCAACAGTTGTCTCTCTCTGTGTGTGTGTGAGTTCTTGGGAGCCTTGCAGAACTATAGAGCTTGTTCTCAACTTGCAAAAAACGGGGACCAGGATTTCCATGGCTAAGCCAGGCGCTGGTTAAGCGAGTCGCGCCCCGTTTTATGACCACTTTTGCCCTGGTTAGGCAAATCACGACGAGTCATGCAGTTATTAAGCAAAATCCAGTTCCTCTCCCCCCCCCCAATTGATTTCGCTCGTTGGAAGCCGGCTGGGAAGGTTTTGCAGGAGAGGATCACGTGACCCTGGGACGCTGCGACCGTCGTAAATACACGCCGGTTGCCAAGCGTCCAGATTTTGATTAGAGGTGGGTGCCAGCGATGGTCCTAAGTGTGAGGACCAGCTGCAAGTCACTTCTTCCAGTGCTTTGATAACTTCGAAAAGACACTCAGCGAACAGTTGTAAATTGAGGACTTCCTCTATATACGCTTTCAAATCGGAGATGAGATTTCTCTCGCTGGGAAGAGACCCGAACACCCGCTGAAGCTCTTCTGGACCTAGCATCCTTTAGTCGTCTGTTTTCACCTCAATAATAATAATAGTAATAAAAAAGTTGGAAGGGACCTTGGAGGTCATCTAGTCCAACCCCTTGCTCAGGCAGGAAACCCTATCCCATTTCAGGCAAATGGCTGTCCAATCTCTTCTTAAAAACTTCCAATGTTGGAGCATTCACCGCTTCTGGAGGCAGGTTGTTCCACTGGTTAATTGATCTCACTGTCAGGAAGTTTCTCCTTAGTTCCAGGTTGCTTCTCTCCTTGGTTAGTTTCCATCCGTTGCTTTGGTAGACACTCCTGGCATTTCAGAGTTGGAAGAGGCCCTGGAGGTCATCTAGCCCAACCCCCTGCTCAAGCAAGAGACCGGCCTATGCCATTTCAGACCAACGGTTGTCCAATCTTTCCTTAAAAACCTCCAGTGATGGAGCACCCACCACTTCTGAAGGCAAACTGTGGATTGTCCTCCACCGTTTAGGAAGTTTCTCCTTAATTCCAGATTGCTTCTCTCCTTGGTTAGTTTCCATCCGTTGCTTCTCGTCCTGCCTTCAGGGGCTTTGGAGAACAAGTGGACCCCCCCTCTTCTTTGGGGCAGCCCCTCAGATATTGGAAGGCGGCTATCACGTCATCCTTACTCTTGCTTTTAAAGACTGGCCAAACCCAATTCCTGCAGTCATTCTTCATGCCTTTTGGCCTCCAGGCCTTTCATCATCTTTTGTTGCTCTTCTCTGCGCTCTTTCCAGAGCCTCGACATCTTTTTTGTAAGGTGGTGTCCAAACCTGGAGGCGGTATTCCAGGTGTGTCTTTCCCCCAAAGTCAGCTGCTTCCGCCCATCTCCTTCTAGGCCAGTGGTTCTCAACCTGTGGGTCGGGACCCCATTTGGGGTCGATCGACCATTTCACGGGGGTTGCCAAGCAAGGCTGTCCGCCATTTTTTTTGTCTGCCATTTTTTTCCCCTTTTCCGGCGGGTGCCTTACGTCCCTTGGGCTGGGCCAGCTGGTGGTCGGCCTGCTCCGTCTCTGCCGCTTGCCAGCTACGCCTCGGCCGGCGCAGGGGGCGGAACCACGCATGCGCGGTGCTCCCGGGTAGGGAAAGTCCTCGACTGACGACCGGTTTAGTCCTCGACATACGACCAGTTTAGTCCTCGACTTACGACCGGTTTAGTCCCCGACTTACGACCGGTTTAGTCCTCGACTTACGACCGGTTGGGGTCGCGGCATTAAAAAGATTGAGAACCACTGTTCTAGGCCTGGGCTCCACGAGAGAGCGGGCACTCTTTGTCGAAAGCCACCTCCGAGCCACGTGGACAAGCAAGCGGATCCGAGCGAGAGAGAGGCACTCAGCTTTTTTTTTGCTCAAGCGGTGACTTAAGGCTGGAAAAACACTGGGATCAGCTCCAGGCCCTGAAAAAGCATTCCTTCCTTGCTGTGCTCAGCCACTACCATCAAAAGGAGGAGGGGGGGGAAGGCTGCGCTTGTCTGCAACTCCGTTGGGACAACCGAGGCAAAGGCGTTGCTCTTGTTACCGGCGTCTGTCTCTGTTTTTCACCTCTAATTAGAAGCAGCTTGCAAGGAAGAGCTCTCTTTTGCTGGGGGGGGGCTACTCAGAGGTCCTTCCCCCCCCCCCCACCTCCCTAGTGATCCAAGAAACTGAGATTTTTTTTAAGGAAGAGATGGGACAGTCATTTTATCCTGAACAGTACGGGGTCTCCTGCCTAGGAGGGGAGGGGTTGGACTAGAAGACCTCCCGAGGTCCCTTCCAGCTCTTATTCCGTATGCCAAAGCTGCCGGCCAGGGTTGGTTTTCCCCAGACTGTGTAGCTTAAAAGAGGAGAAAGATGTGGCTCTAATTGCAATTCCTGGAATAGCTAGCTTGTTGTCCTGGGTTTTCCCCCATAATAATTCCCAGTGAGGAAAAAATATGTTTTGCTGCGGGAAAGCTGCGCGGCCCGGAACGTCGTTCATTTCCGCAGCAGGATTCTCCCAGATGGCCTTCCTCAAACACCCATCGGCCGTTTGAGTCTTCCGTGAAAGAGAGACCCGCAATTGGGCAATGGTGCTAGAGCAGGGGTGTCCAGCCATCGACACTTTTAAGGCTTGGGGACTTCAACTCCCAGAATTCCCCAGCCAGCATGGCTGCCTGGGGAATTCTGGGAGTTGAAGTCCCCAAGCCTTAAAAGCTGCCCATCTTCCGATTGGACAATTGAGAGGAGGAATCTTAGCTACTATGACACCCTATTGGTTGAACCTGACCATTTTATGAAGCCAAAGGATGGTTGGTTTTTTTTGGGGGGGATGTGCGAGTACGTGTGTGTGTGTGTGTGTGTGTGTGTGTGTGCACACGCTTACAACACAACTTTTTAAAAAAAAAAAAAAAATCCAGAGTTTGGCTTAATGAATTACAAGGAATCCTCGATTTAGGATGAAAATCGGGACCGGCATTTCCGTCGCTAAGCCAGGCCATCGTTCAGTGGGTTGAGCCCGGCTCGACCACCGTTTCAGCCACTGTTGTTCAACGAAGCTGTTAAGGGGACGCTAAGCGACTACGATATCCTTCCCTGACTTGGGTTCTCAACGGGACAGTCCGAAATGGAAATTACACGACCCTTTAGTAATAGTAATAATAAAGTTGGAAGGGACCTTGGAGGTCATCTAGTCCAACCCCCTGCTCAGGCAGGAAATCCTATATACCATTTCAGGCAAATGGCTGTCCGGTCTCTTCTTAAAAACTTCCAGGGTTTTAAATCCCTTTAAGGTAGGATGCTGCAGATATCCTATCAATGTTTCTCAGCCTTGGCAACTGTTAAAAGAGGGGTGGACCTCAACTCCCAGAATTCATGTCATCCTGTAATCCCCCAGGATGCTTCAGTGATTGAAAATAGCGCCCGAATTTTGTCCCCGTGACCCCGGGGATAATAATAGTAATAATAGTAATATAATAATAATAATAATAACAATCTATATAAATAAAAATGTAAATGTTCGTTTGTTCAAAATCTTAAATCTCCGAAAGTTCTTCACTGATTGCTTTGAAATTTTGACACAATGTTGCATTCGAATACGCGCGTGTTTTTATATATCTACTATTATATAGATGTCACACCTGTGATAGGTAAAAACATGATATATTACAAACGTGCGCTTTCTCTCTTTTTTTCTTTTCCATTTAACCAGACTGAGCCACAGCAACGCGTGGCTGGGTACAGCTAATAATAATAATAATAATAATAATAATAATAATAATAATAATAATAATAATAATAATAATAATAATAATAATAATAATAATAATAATAATAATGATGATGATGATGATGATGATGTTGGAAGGGACCTTGGAGGTCATCAAGTCCAATCCCCTGCTCAGGCAGGAAACCCTACACCATTTCAGACAAATGCTGTAATGGTTGTAAGCGCGAGGACCGGTCGTAAGTCCCGTTCCTTCAGAGCCATTGTAACTTCAAAGGGTTGCAAAACAAGAGTGTTTTTTTAAAAAAATAAAATAAAATTTAAGGCGTTTCGGTCAAGTGACGGGAGACTCCAGTATCTCCCTAACCCCCCCAAAAGCTTTCTCATCCGCACTCTTCTCTCCCCCACCCCGTTGCAAAAAACAGGCCACCTCTTCTCAAAGCCTCTTTTATTAAATTTATATAAAAACACAATAATTAAAAAAACAAATCAACCGCCCCTCCCCCAAACGGAGATACTCCCCTCCCCCATCCAGATCTCTTTTTTTAAGATCCTGCTCTCTTTCTGCTCCCCCTCCCCTCGAGAACCAATGCCCCCCCTCCCTTTGCACACACAGACACACTCACTCGGGAGTCAGGACAGATGGGGGGCTGGGGGGGCAGCGCAGATATTGCTAAAAGGCGACCGAATCGTTGTGATTATCAAAGCATCCCCAGACGGAGGATCTTGCTCTTTCGTGTTGTTCTAGAGGTGGGGGGGGATTTAACAGATCCTCCCCAGCCCTATGAAAGCATTCCCCCCCCTTCCCTGGAAACCGAGCACTGCCAACATTTCAGCGACGCACGGGGTCCCAAGTGGCAGGGGCCACGCAGGACGGCTGCTGACGGACAGGACGTCATTTCTTCTGGGGGGTGCTTAGCTTCTGCATCCCTCGGATCTTGTCTAGCAAGTCAACGACGAAAACCTGGAAGGACAGGAAGGGAAAAGGCTCACGCAGGGCCCGAGTAAAGCTTGAGTCCCCTGCACGGGGTCCGTAGCGGGGTTTCTCACCCTTGGCAGCTTCAAGAGGGGTGGACTACAAGCCCCAGAATTGCCCAGCTGGGATGCTTTAAAATAGGTGGACTTCAACTCCCAGAATTTCCCAGCCAGCGTGCTTTAAGAGGGGTGGACTACAACTCCCAGAATTCCCCAGTTGGGATGCTTTAAAATAGGTGGACTTCCGCTCCCAGAATTCCCCCGCCAGCACGCTTTAAGATCTCAGAATTCTCCCCCCAGCATGCTTTTAAGATGAGCAGACTTCCATTGCTATTGCTGGCTGGGGGATTCTGGGAGTTGAAGCCCCTCCCCCTCTGAAAGCATGCTGGCTAGGGGATCATGGGAATTGAAGTCCACCCCCTCTTAAGAGCTTCCAAGGCTGACAGGATACCTGCGGCATCCTAGCTTTAAGGCAGTGGTTCCCAACCTTTTTAATGCCGCGACCCCAACCGGTTGTAAGTCGAGGACTAAGCCGGTCGTAAGTCGAGGACTAAGCCGGTCGTACGTCGAGGACTACCCAACCGGTCGTAAGTTGAGGACTTTCCCTGCCCGGGAGCACCACACATGCGTGGTTCCGGCCCCTGCGCCGGCCGAGGCGTAGCTGGCAAGCGGCAGAGACGGAGCAGGCCGACCACCAGCTGGCCCAGCCCAAGGGAGGTAAGGCACCCGCCGGAAAAGGGGGAAAAAATGGCGGACAAAACAAATGGCGGACAAAACAAATGGCGGACAGCCTTGCTTGGCGACCCCCATGAAATGGTCGATCGACCCCAAATGGGGTCCCGACCCACAGGTTGAGAACCACTGCTTTAAGGGGATTTTAAACCAGACCTTCAGCCCTGCTTGAAGTGGGATTGCAAAGCCAAACCTCCCCGGACAGAGGCAGTCTACCCGCCAAACGGAGGTGGGACAACCTGGGCAGTTCGACAACCTGGGCAGTTCGTGGGAAAAAAAAAAAAAAGAGGCTGGCCCAGGTAAGCGACCTTCATTTTGGCACATCTGCTCAGTCTGGACTTCTGTTTTCCAGCCGGAAAACCCACATCTGGGATCAGCCTGACTAGTTCTCTCCCATTAGAGGGGGGGGGGGTGTCTTTTTTTGCATCATAATGAAGCTGTTCCTGCTTTGCCTACAACCTGTTTTATCCACTCCCCCCCCCCATTTCAGGAGGCCAAGCTTGGGAGAAGGGGCCAGGCAAGGAAGGGGGGGGAACTAGCCCCTTCCACAGCCCTCCCCCCCTAACAGGTGCTGGGGACCCCTCCCCCCCCAAGACCTACAGAGATGGAGGCAGCAGCTGTTTTGCAGCTGCTGCTGGGAACGAGACAGTAAGGACTAGCACCCTCCCAAGGGAGTTTAAGGGGGCAGGCAGGGGAGCAAAACTGGCCACCGCCAATAAGCTGGCTGTAGAAAAAGGTTTTTTTTTTTTGTTTTAATCAGCCAAGACATACCTCTGTGGGCTTGTAGCAGTCGACCAGGAGTTCCTACAACGGGGTGAAAGGAAAGAGGGAAAAATAAATCAGAGAAGCTCTATGCTTTTTTAAAAGCTTGCCATTGTAGACCCCTGGCTAAACCTTTGAGGGTGGAGAGCTGCAATTTCTTAAAATCCCTCCTCCTCCTCCTCCTCCTCCATTATTATTATTACTATTATTACTATTATTATTATTACTATTATTACTATTACTATTACTACTACTACTACTACTATTATTATTATTATTATTATTATTATTATTATTATTATTATTATTATTATTATTATTATTATTATTATTATTATTATTATTATGGTTTAAGGTTACACATCCCAGCCGGAATTTACACGTCTGCTTTTGGGTGGCTGCGTGAAAGGACCCAGCCAGGTTCGGGTCTTGTGATGGCCCTGGCGTTAGTGACAATGAAGCACACGCACACACACCCCTTCTCAAGCCCCTCTTGTAACTTTTTTTTGTGTGTGTGTGTGTGAAGAGACAATGAGACGCACAGGCACACCCTTTAAGCTCTTCTCGTAACTTTGGTGTAGAGACAGTGAAACACACAGGCATCCCTTTCTCCAGCCCTCCTTGTGACTTGTGTGTGGACACAATGAGACGCACGCGCGCCCCCTTTCCCAAGCCCCTCTTTGTAACCAGCGCGTGCCTGTGTGGGCAAAAGGGACGCTTCTCTTCCCCCCAAGGTGCTTTTTCCTCAAGGCAACTGGACTTCCTTGTTTTTAATAATAATAATAATAATAATAATAATAATAATAATAATAATAATAATAATAATAATAATAATAATAATAATAATAATAATAATAATAATAATAAAGTTGGAAGGGACCTTGGAGGTCATCTAGTCCACCCACCCACCCCGCTCAGGCAGGAAGCCCTACACCATTTCGGGCAAATGGCTGTCCGGTCTCTTCTTAAAAACTTCTTAAAGACGTTTCGCTTCTCCTCCAAGAAACTTCTTCAGCTCTGACTGGATGGTGGGGAAGGGAAGGATTTATATTCCTGGTCATTTGCATCCTTTGAGAGAGCCGTTGAGGCCATTTGGGAGTTTGCCTGCGTCCTCAGGGTCACCTGAGTGGTGCAAATGGGTGTGGAGCCTTCTTGGGACTGCTGAAAGGACCATGTTCCACACTCATTTGCACCACTCAGGTGACCCTGAGGACGCAGGTAAGCCTCCAAGTGGCCTCAACGGCTTTCTCAAAGGATGCAAATGACCAGCTGTCTGCAAGGAGTATAAATCCTTCCATTCCTCACCATCCAGTCAGAGCTGAAGCTTCTTGGATGAGAAGCGAAACGTCTTCAAAGGAAAAACAAGGAAGTCCCAGTTGCCTCCTGAAAAAAAGCACCGTGATCTGTCTGGCTGACCATCTCCATGGACGTTTCTCTTCTTCCCGGTCTTTTTTTTTACCTTCACCCTAGCACTCCGCGATTCGTCGCTCTCCATATCCAAAAGTTCATCCACGTCTATTTCTAATTCGGGAATTTCTTCTTCCTGGGATTAAAAAAGGAGGAGAAAAGCCAAGTTTTAGGTGTTCTCTCGTCGGGGATCGTTAAATGGGGAGAGAAGCGGGCAGACGCAAACGGGTCCCTGGGCAACATCGCCTCAATTCAACAGACAAGACGCGGTTCAAACCATCCGGTCAAAAGTCAGCTTCCCACCCGGTGCTGAGCTGGGAAGAGTTCAGCTGCTTTTCGTAGCTGAGTCTAGCATCTTGGGGGAACCTTCTCTCTCTCCCCCCCAATTTAAACTTCTTGTTGAGAAAGGGGTACAAGGCCAACCCCCCAAAAAGACAAGACCATTTGCAGTTAGGACCGTTCTCTGCATCTTCCTGTTTGCTGCATAAGGGTCCAGCTGTTATTTGAGCCCCGTTGGGATGTCCGGCAAAGGTCCCAAGGAAGTGAGGGAGGGAGGGAGGGAGGAAGCAAGGAAGGGAAAGGGAAGGAAGGATATGAGAGAGAAGGAAGGAAACTCAGAAAAAGAAGAAAAGAAAAATTGGAGGGAGGGAGAAAGAGAAGGAAGCAAGGAAGGAAAAGAAGGAAGGAAGGATATGAAAAAGAGAAGGAAGGAAACTAAGAAAAAGAGGAAAGAAAAGGAAAATTGGAGGGAGGAAGGAAGGAGGGAAGGAAGGAAGGAAAGAAAATTGGAGGGAGATAAGAATGTAAATGGAAGGAAGGAAAGAAAAAATGGAGGGAAGGAAGGAAAAAAGCAAGGGGAAAAGGGAAGGAAGGAAAGAATGGAAGGAAGGAAAGGAAGGAAGAAAGAAAAATTGGAAGGAGATAATGTAAATGGAAGGAAGGAAAGAAAAAATGGAGGGAAGGAAGGAAAAAAGCAAGGGGAAAAGGGAAGGAAGGAAAGAATGGAAGGAAGGAAGGAAGGAAAGAAAATTGGAGGGAGATAAGAATGTAAATGGAAGGAAGGAAAGAAAAAATGGAGGGAAGGAAGGAGAAAAGCAAGGGAAAAGGGGAAGGAAGGAAAGAATGGAAGGAAGGAAAGGAAGGAAGAAGGAAAAATGGGAAGGAGATAATATAAATGGAAGGAAAGAAAAAACGGAGGGAAGGAAGGAAAAAAGCAAGGGAATAGGGGAAGGAAGGAAGAAAAATTGGAAGGAGATAAGAATGTAAATGGAAGGAAGGAAAGAAAAAACGGAGGGAAGGAAGGAGAAAAGCAAGGGAAAAGGGGAAGGAAGGAAGGAAGAAAAATTGGAAGGAGATAAGAATGTAAATGGAAGGAAAGAAAAAATGGAGGGAAGGAAGGAAAAAAGCAAGGGAAAGGGGGAAGGAAGGAAAGAATGGAAGGAAGAAAAGGAAGGAAGGAAGGAAGCTAGCTTCTTTCACTCTGGCCCCACAAGCAGAAACATCGGAGTCAGGATCCACAGTGGTGCCCAATCCAATCATTTTGTGCTCGTTTCTAAACCGTCCTGCAAGTCCACGGAAAAAAGGCTGGGCTCTTAAGACTTAATTTTTTATTGATGTGCTAGCTCTCTTCCTGCAAGGAGGCCCACAAAGCGAATCCTGTTTTTAAACCCAGCCTTAACGTTCCTCTCCGTCTCTCCACCGACCAGCGTTGCTCAAGCTGAGCCACTTTTAAGCCGGGTGGACTTCCAACTCCCAGAATCCCCCAGCCGGCTTGCTCGCCGACTGAGGCATTCTGGGAGTTGAAGTCCACCCAGCTTTTAAAGTTGCTCGGCTTGAGAAGCCCTGCTCCTCAGGAAGGTGACTTAGTTGACCCAAGAGAACATTTCCCATCCTCCTCCTCCATTAAAAGGATAATGGAAATTGTCCTCTCAAACCCCCCCCCCCCATGGAAGACACCAGCCCTGCACTTAGCCCTCCGCACCAGCCTATAAATTAATCAGGCCGATTGATTAAAAATTGATCTTTAAAAGGACATCATCTTTCCAGGAGCTAGCAGGCCTCTGTTTTCTTTTTATGGCTAAATGGCTTTCAGGTACCCGTCCTGGCGCACGGAAGCTATTTAGGAAAAGAAGTTTTTGCCTCGCGGGTTCCGTTTATTTCCCCCCCCCTCTTTTTAAATCCTTCCAAAAGGTCACTCCTTTGCCCTCCAAACTAGCCAGGCCTCAATTCCTCCCCGTCTTTAAAAGAGCTACAGGTATTTCCTTGAGTTATGACCAGGATTTATGTTGCTAAGTGAGCTTTGCCCCGTTTTACGGCTTTTCTCGCCACAGTTGTTCAGCGAATCGCTGCAGCTGTTACGTTAGGAACACCGTCATTAAGTGAACCCCCCCCACTGGCTTTGCTGGTCAGGTGGTCACCAAAGGGGATTACGTGATCCCCCAGGACGCTGCAACCGTCATAAACGTGAGTCGGTTGCCAAGCGTCCGAATGTTGATCCCTTAAACCAGGGGTCTTCAAACGTGGCCCTTTGATGACTTGTGGACTTCAACTCCCAGAATTCCTCAGCCAGGCACAAGGAATTCTGGGAGTTGAAGTCCACAAGTCATCAAAGGGCCACGTTTGAAGACCCCTGCCTTAAACCCTGGGGATGCTGCAAGTGTCGTATGCGGGAAACACGGTCCTAAGTCCCTTTTTTCAGTGCCGTTATCCCTTCGAACGGACACTAAACGAACCGTCGTAAATCGAGGGCCGCCTGTATCCGAAACCCTTGCTCTCTTGGGACATGGCCCTAACCCAATCAACCCGCCCCTATTTTTCCATTCACACATGCAACTTGGTAATAAACAAGGGAAGCGAGCTTCAACTTTGAGCGGCGGGCAAGGGCGGGAAGGAGCGAAGGTTCGCAAGCCGGATTTGGCCTCCCTTCCCAAGGCCGGCCTTTATGGCTCCCTTAGCTAATGGTCAACTAGAGTTTGCAGCTGCCAAAAACAGCCAACACAGTCCAGAGGCTGCATCAACAGAGGGATAGAATCGAGGTCACACGAAGCGTTAGTCCCGCCTTATAAGGCCTTGGCAAGACCACGTGTGGAATACTGCATCCAGTTTCGGTCGCCACGATGTAAAAAAAAGATGTGGAGACTCTGGAAAGAGTGCAGAGAGGAGCAACCAAGACAATTAGGAGGCTAAAACATATGAAGATTGGGGTAGATCTAGTTTAATGAAAAGCTGGACGGGGCGGGGAGGGCATGATAGCAGCGTCCCAATATTTGAGGGGCTGCCCCAAAGAAGAGGGAGTCAAGCTATTCTCCAAAGCGCCTGAAGGCAGGACAAGAAACAACGGAGGGAAACCAATCACCCAAGCTAGAACTAAAGCGGAATTTCCCGACTGTGAGAACAATGAACCAGTGGAACAGCTTGCCACCAGAAGTTGTGGGTGCTCCATCACTGGAGAATCTAGGACAGGAAACTCACGTTTAGCTTGCTCCTCCCTTAGGTTTTCACCGAAGACCCATCCCAGCAAGCTCTCTTGTTCCTTTGCCACACCCCCCAAAAAACAACCATGCCCCTCCTGAAGCTGGTTAGCAGATGGCATTTAGCCTCCGCCAAAATGCCCACCAGACGTGAGACAGGCGGGGCCCCTGAAAGCCGATCTTGCTATTGTGATCCACATTTAGAGCGCATTCGAAGGCTGCCAGGGCAGAGCAGATGACACCAACTCGGGATGCCAAGCTGTCAAGATGGAGAAAAGTGTTAACAACTCCTTTGCCCGATCTCGTGACACCCCCCTCAAGGAATCATGCAGGATTTAAGGGGGGGTGGGCCAGCTGCTAAGTTGGGCAAAGTTAGGGGCATCCCTCCCCCCCTCAACTTAACTCATGACACTTTATGCAATTGGAGGTTTTTTTTAAAAAAGGGCACTGAGACCCCGCACAAAGTTTTTTCCACACCACCCAGAAGGGCTGGGATGCCAGCAACCTTAAGTGACCTTCCCTCTGAGCCACCTTGTCAGGAATGGGGAGATCCCTGCCCTGGGGTGATCCGCTGTGGGAATCGGGCGAGGAGGAGGGTTGTGAGTGGGAGGGTTGCGTTAACCCAGTTTGGCAACTGGAAAAAAGGCTCCGAACGTGCCAGGACTTACAGCCGCCAGAATTCCCAGCACATTTTATGGGGGGGGAGTGGCAGAACTTCCCCTCCTCCCCCCACCGTCAGATCTGAGGTCACCAGGATTCTGGGTCAGAGAAGGGGGGTGGGTGACCACAAGAGGGAGAGATCCCTGGCTTAAAACAGGCCAATTAGGGAGGGAGGGAGGGAGGGAGGGGAGGATGGTGGTTTCCTGGCTCTCCTTTTGGGGAGCAGTGCCCACCCCAGGAAGCCAGCAGCATCAAGACCCCAAATTGAGTTTGGGACAGAAGCGGCTTAATTGCCAGCTTCCAGCTCCTGCGAGACCCTCATGCGTCTCTGGAGGAGGGTCCGCCCTGGAAGTAGCCAGTCACAGATGCCCCCTTGCTGGCGTCCCTTTATGGGGTGGGGAAGATTTGGGAGAGGAAGCTTAAGGGAGCAAAGGTCAGGATAGCCTTAGGATCAGGACTGCGTGCAAAGGTGGCAAGGATGGGGGGGGGGTCAGGACCCTGGGAAGCAAGAGGGAAGAAGCGATGGGGGCTGAACCTCTGGGAAACGGGGCGGGGGTCGCCACAACCCCGGGCCACCCCCTTTGCTTGGCAAATCCGGGATCAGGGGAAGGGTCCCTTCCTTCCTTCTCCATCACTGGAGGCTTTTAAGAAGAGACTGGGCAGCCATTTGTCCGAAGTGGCATAGGGTCTCCTGCTTGAGCAGGGGGTGGGACTAGAAGACCTCCAAGGTCCCTTCCAACTCTGTTATCTTTCCTTCCTTTCTTGATTTTCCTTTCCTCCTTCCCTCCCTTCTCTCCTTCCTTCTGTATCCTGATTTTTCTTCCTTTCTTCCCTTCCTTCCCGATTTTCCTCTTCTCTTCCTTCCTTCTCCTTCCTTCCTCTCCTTTTCCTTCCTTCCTTCTCCTTTGTTTCTCTGATTTTCCCTCCCTCCCTTCTTCCTTCCTTCCTCCTTTCTTCCTAATTTTCCTCTTCTCTTCCTTCCTTCTCCTTTCTTCCTCTCCTTTTCCTTCCTTCCTTCTTTCTTTCTCTTATTTTCCCTCCCTCGCTCCTCTCCTTCCTCCTTTCTTCCTGATTTTCCCTCCTTCCTTCCTTCTCCTTTCTCCCTCTTGATTTTCCTTCCTTCCTTCCCCCCCCCCCCCCCCCCCCCCCCCCAGGCGCCCACCTGGCAGTCGTAGAGGACGGTCAGCTGCTCCAGGATCCACTCCTCCAAGTGCAGCCGCTTCCGCAGCTCCTTGCGGTCGTATTTCACCGTCACCCGCCCCTGGCGCCGCACCGGGCCCTCCTCGTCCTCGGCGCCCGCCTCCCCTCCCGCCGATGCCGCCGCCGCCGCCGCCGCCGGGGGGCTCTGGAAGTAGACGCGGGGCCGCTCCCCCGGCGCGCCGCTCTCCGGGCTGCAGGGAGCCGCCATCCGGCCGCCCGGCCCCTTCTTTTGTTCCCGGCCCCGAGTCCGCGGAGCACGTGCGGAGCCCGCCGGCTGCGGGGAGCGGAGGGCGCGGCGCGGGTCTCTGGCTTCGCTCTTTCCCCACGTGCGATCCGAATGGGAAGCCTGCCGATTCCCCCCCCCGACTCTTTCTTCCTTCCTTCCTTCCTTCTTTCTTTCCTTCCTTTCTTTTCTTCCTCCTCCCCTTTTTGCAAGCGGCGTCGCGCGCTCCGGTGTCGCCTGGTCCCGATCCGGGGCGTCCCCTTTGTCCCGACGGTGCGTCCGCCGCTGCTGCCGCTGCTGCCTCCGCCGGTGTGGCTGGCTCCCTCTCCCCCGCCCCCCGCCCCGCCCCCTTAAAGGGCCCGCTCGCTGCCCCCTCCCTCCCCCTCCCTCCNAGGGAAGAGGGGGGGCCACGGAAGAAGAGGGGGGGTCACGTGGCTGGGCCCCAATAGAAGCTCAATTCAGCCACTTCCTGCCAAGGAGAAGAAAAGTCGGAGCAGCTGGGCTGAGTCAGGCCTTTGGCTGGTCTGCTCCAGATTAAGACCAGCTCTCCCAGGGGCTGGAGAAGCAGCCCTGCTGTGAAATGCGGGGGTATTATTATTTTTTTTTGGGGGGGGGGATCCTAGGAAAAGGGGAAGGACTCTGCCTTGGAAGGAGATGCAAAGAAAGCAAGATGTTTCTCGCTTAAACTTAGCAGGAAAGTTCCCTTTTTCTCTTCCTTCCTTCCTTCCTTCCTTCCTTCCTTCCTTTCTTCCCTCCCCTATTTTCTTTCTTTCTTTTTCTTCCTTCCTTCCTTTCTTTCCCACTCCTTTTTCCTTCCTTCCTTCCCCCACTTTCTTTCTTTCTTTCTTTCTTTCTCTTTCTTTCTTTCTTTCTTTCTTTCTTTCTTTCTTTCTTTTTCTTCCTTTTTCTTCCTTTCTTCCCCACTCCTTTTTCCTTCCTTCCTTCCTTCCCCTTTTTCTTTCTTTCTTTCTTTCTTTCTTTCTTCCTTTCTTTCTCTTTCTTTCTTTCTTTCTTCCTTCCCTCCTTCCTTTCTTCCCCACTCCTTTTTCCGTCCTTCCTTCCCCTACTTACTTACTTACTTACTTACTTACTTACTTACTTCCCTTCCCTTCCCTTCCCTTCCTTCTTCCCTCTCTCCTTCCTCCCTTCCTCTTCCCATCCATTCCTTCCTCCCTCTCCTTCCTTCCCTCTTTCCTCCCTCCCCTCCCTTCCTTCCTCTGTCCTTTTCTTTCCTTCCCCTTCCTTTCCTTTTCTCTTCCCTCCTTCCTTCTCTCCCCCCCTCCTTTCTCCCCTTCCCTCTGTTCTCCCTCCCTTTCCTTCTTTTCTTCCTTCCTCCTCTCTTCCCATCCATTCCTTCCTCCCTCCCTTTTCCCTCCCTTTTTTCCTTCCTCCCTCCCTCCCTTCCCCTTTGCCTTCCTAAATTTTCCCCCCAAAACCACCATCCTAATAACCATGTGCCCTGTGATTATTATCATTTTTTTAAAAAAAATAAATTGGAATCTCAGATTTACAAGGCAAAGCCTGTTATGAGCCTGAGTAAAATTCCACAATAATTGCCAGCATTCTGCTTCTCTGGAATTCCCCCCCTCCCCCAGGATTTTGATTCTGGAACAGCCTTCTAGAAAGGGGGGGGGTCTTGTCTCTAGAATGGGTGCCTCACTTCTAGAAACTGAGTTCATCAATCAGACCAAACGCCCCTTCTCCAGTTTATAGGCAACTTGAAGACCCGTAGACTTCAAATCCCAGAATTCTGCAAAACTGGCTGGGGAATTCTGGGAACTAAAGTCCGCAAGTCTTAAAAGTTGCCTAGATTGGAGACCCTGGTATGAAGGGCAACCTTAGAGGTCTTCTAGTCCAACGCCCTGGCTAAAGCAGGTGTCCTTATGCCATCCCATCCAATGGTTGTCCGATCTTGCCCAATGAACAGAGCGAAACAAATCATGATGTAGACAGGGTAACCACATATGTCTGTTTGTGTGGGTCTCTTTCTCAACTCTCTCACCTTCGTTATTACAGATCCTAGATTTTGTCCAGAAAGAAAAACAATGGTTCTGAAAAAACAACCGTTTTATTCCAGCACAACTTTTCCTGGACTATCCCATTCATTCATTCATTCATTCATTCATTCATTTATTCCCCAGGTCAATTGGTCTGCTTTGAAAGCAGCACCTGCCAGCCTCTGCTTCTTTCATTATTGAACAGTCATTAAACAAAAAGGAAAAGAGAGAAGGAAGGAAGAGAAAGGGACGAAGGAAGGAAGGAAGGAAGGGAAAAAAAACAGGGAGGAAAGAAAGAAGGAAAAGAAAAATAGGAATGAAAGAAAAAAGATAAGAGAGGGAGGGAGGGAAGAAGAAAGAAAAGGAAGGAAGGAAGGAAGGAAAGATGGAAGGAAGGAAAAGAAAAATAGGAATGAAAGAAAAAAGATAAGAGGGAGGAAGGGAGGGAGGGAGGGAGGGAGGGAGGGAAGGAAGGAAGGAAGGAAGGAAGGAAGGAAGGAAGGAAGGAAGGAAGGAAGGAAGGAAGGAAGGAAAAAAGAACATCGGAAGATAGCCGGTCTGGTTAAAGACGCATCTCCGCATGGGAGTGCAAACAACACACTCAGCTCACGCCTTCCCCCTTCTGGATCCACTGTGAAATCACTTCGGGGAGATTTTTTGAAAGGACAAAGGGGATCCACCCATGAAACCCAGAGACTGTAATTTGCTGGCTTTTGGGGGGGAAAAAGGAGATTAAATCCATCGCTCCATCAACAAAGCCAGAATTTTGTCCCAAGGGAGAATTCCGGAGAAAGTCTTGAGCATTTCAAAGCCTGTTAATCTGAGGTTGATTTTCTTTTTCATTAGGGACCATTTAGAAGCTTTTGTTGATTAAGATCCCTGGCTTTAGTTAAGGGAGAGAAAGATGAAGGTGTTTTTGAGCATGTGCAGAACCTTCCTTCCTTCCATTCTTTCTTCTTCTTCTTCTTCTTCTTCTTCTTCTTCTTCTTCTTCTTCTTCTTCTTCTTCTTCTTCTTCTTCTTCTTCTTCTTCTTCTTCTTCTTCTTCTTCTTCTTCTTCTTCTTCTTCTTCTTCTTCTTCTTC